TCACCCCTGTGGGGCGTGGACAGGGTGAAACACACCCGCGGGACATCGGGACAGCTCCATGAGCAATGCTCCGGGGTTGGGAGGACTCGGTGCTTCTTCTGAAATTTGTACTTTGGGATGGGAGCTGCGCAGCACTCCGAATGGGGTGTCCTTCTGCATTCGTGGTGGCACTGCTGCCCTGGCTGTTTTGTTCACCAGTGTCGTTGGGGGTCAGGGTCAGGGGGGTGCTGGGGCCAGGGGTGGCTTCGGAGGGCTCATCCACAGGACGGAATCAGGATGCAGCGTCTAGAACATGAGGATGGTCAACTATGTACCCCGTGAAGAGGGAAGTGCTGGTCTCGTCATCGACCCCAGGTTCTGAAGGGCTGAGATCTGGGCCAGCCCCCTCCCCGCGGCATCCTTGCCCTAGCTGACAAAGGTGCCTGGGCAGGGCTGTGTCTGCACCTGTTAGGCTGGTAAGAAAGGCCCTAACAGGGTCTGAGCACCTGCCTTGTGGGCATTTCTCAAACCTGCTAGAGAAGAGTCTGCTGAAAGCAGATTAAATGCAGACTCCCAGGCCTGGCCTGTGTCCGCCTGTCCGGGAGGCCCTGGGACGTGTGCTCTCCATGGCTCAGGTAATGCTGATGCGGCCATATGGAGAAGAGTGCTCTTGGGAACGGTGGCTAACTGTCGCAGAGAACCTCACTCCTAAATTCTCCCTGCGAGCGGCAGTGCGGCTGTCACAGGAGGGAGGGAGGCTGGTTTGGGCCCAGCAGGAAGGGAAGCGCTGGCAACCCCGGTGCCAGGGCCACTGTCCTAAGCCGCCACTAGTGTGAGCCCTGGCGAGGGGCGGGTCTGCCAGCAAGCCTGGGGCCCTGGTTCAAGGGGACTCTGGTGGCAGACGGGAGGTGGGCCAGGTGTGGGCCGAGTGTGCACTTTGTCCCAGTGCTCCCTGCGGTCACCGTGAGATGCCTCTCTGAGCCTCTGCCACCTTCCGTAAGAACAGCGGCGGGAGGAGAGCGGCCATACCCTTGGGGTTGCTGTGGAAGCAACTGGATGACAGCCTGGGGAGCCCCCTGCCTCCTCCTGTGCTCCTGTCACGCAAGGCTCCACCTCTGTCTGGGCCCCTTCCGCACTGCCCTGTCATCTCTACTGCTCCTTCCCTTCCTGTGGAGAAGGACTCTTCCAGACTCCGCGAGGCCAGTGCCTGGGCCCCGCGCTTCTCTGTGCTCTCTCATGTTCCCTTCCCACCGACCGCCACCTCCCAGCCCTCCCCACTCCCTCCCACCCCTTCCTTCTCTCCTCGGGGAGACTAGATGGCGGGTAAGCTTGGCCAGCCTGCAGCCAGCGTGAATGGGCGCAGGCTCCGGGCCCTGGCCTTCGGCCCATATAAACGATTCGCTGCTGACCCCTGGCGCCAGGAATGTCCACCTGCAGCGATTCCTAGAGCTGGACTCTCCCCAGGGGTGTGCGGGGCTGTGGATGGCAAGGACCTGGGTGTGGGTTGCACACTGGACTCTGGGTGGATGGTCTGGTTAGGAGGAGATGGGGTAGGACGGTGGCCTTGAACGTGGACTGTATGCCATGTGCGCCAAGGAGCTGTGACATGGCGTCACCTGGTCAGAGCTGGCTCCGGGGAGATGCAGTTGGCACAGTGTGGAGGGGTGGCCGAAGGCAGGCGACCAGCAGAGGAAGGGGTCGAGGAAAGAGCCATGGACAGACAGGGGCTGGCTTTGGGGACGGGCTGTAGACGAGCAGGGTGTGTGGACAGGGACTCACTCATTTGCCGGCCCTTTCACTCCCTCAAGACTTCAATGACCGTGCACCCCTGCCCGGTGCCAGGTGCCCAGGAGGCCGTGGTCAACGCAGGTGAGGCCCGTGGGAAAGGGGCAGGGCAGGAAAATAAAGCCAGGAGATCCGGAGAGTGACCACCACTGTGGCGGAAATGGACGGGTGATGGGATACAGAGAGGTGTGTGACAAGAAGGGCAGCCCTTCCCCAGGGAGCAGACTGGCGGAGGTACTGACGGGAGCAGCATTAACTGGGCTGCGGCGCCTGGTGTGGGGACCGGGGCCTGCAGGCCACCTCTGTGTGGTAGGAACCTCTGAAGGCCTGAGCAGGGCGTGCCGCCATCTGGTCTCCCAACCACCCCCCGACCACGGCAGAAGAGAAGCATGGCAGGGCGGGGGGTGGCCAGTCCAGTGGATGGGTTGTGGCTGGGGGCCTGGGCGCAGTGCGGCCATCTCCGAGAGGCAGAGCCGTGGGACTGGTTGATGGGTTTGGAAGTGGCGACTGAGAGGGAGCCAAGGCGAAGCCAGCGACCTGCGAGCCTGATGGCGGTTGGCGGGGAGAGGCGGGTTTGGCGAAATCAAGTCACTTTTGACAGTGAGGTGTGAGGAGGTGCAGGTGGTGCTCTGTCACCAGCTGGAAGGGCAGAGGGTTGACGGTGACGTCTGCACAGGTGTGGGGAGAAGATGCAGGGACAAGGTGGGGCTGGGCTCAGTCTTGGGCACGTCGGGACCCTTGAGGGACATCTGGGCCATATCGGGGGCAGTGGGTCGACAGGTCTGGGGCTCAGAAGAGGCGTGGCTGGGTTGGAGAGAGAGTTAGGGTCACAGGATCCATGCGCCCACCCAGGGAGAGTGTGTGGAGCAAGAACTTGAGGGGAGGCTGGGCGGTTCTGGAAGCCAGGAACTCTCTCACTTAGAGCAGCAGCAGGCTGGGCAGAGGGGGTGGGGGTGGTCTGGGAGCAGGGGGCGTCAGGATTTCTGGAGAGAGGCGGGAAGGAGGCTGGAGCACTGTCCCAGGCTGCAGCTGGACAGTGGCAGCAGGGGAGGTGGCAGATTCTGGGAGAGGAGGGATGGGGGCTTGAGGAGGAGGCAGGGCCACTGACGGTGTCGGCAGAGTGTGGGAAACCTGGGGTCTGAGGAGGGAGGATGGCGGGGTGGGCTCTGGGCCTGGGCCAGCGAGCCTAAGACTGGGGACGCCGAGCTGGGCAAGGGCAGCAGGGAGCCAACGTGACCAGCACCCAGTTGCAGGGCCCTCAAAGAGGCATGGTGCTGCCTTAGAGATGGGAGCAGAGCCGGGGGGCAGGGCGGGCAGTGGGCTGCAGGGCCTTCCTGGTACCAGCGCTCAGCCTGGCCAGCAGTTCAGGCCTGGGTCAGGGGTCAGGGGTCAGCTCTGCCTCCTAGGCTGAGCTCTCAGAAGGGGCTGCAGGATCATGGAGCACAGCCCCACCCCACATTTACTTACAGGGTAGAACCTGAACCCTTCTCTGTGCGGCACTGTCCATTCACGTCCCTCTCCTGTTCTCGGGGCTTCATGTAGGGTGGGGTGTGGCTCTCAGGCGGGCTGAAGGTGCTGGCGCCTACCTCCCCATCTCCCAAGTCTACATCGAGTTTTTTCCTTGTTTAACCATCTGTTGCTCGTCAGAAGCTGTATCCCTGATGTTCCCCAGCACCTTTTTTAAAAATTCATTTTAAAATTTACGTACAGCAAAATTCACTTTGCGTTAAATTTTTTAAGCAGAGTGTGCGGACATCAGAGTAACCTCGGCTTTCGTTCGAGGTCCGGCTTGGAGGCAGAGCCTCTTGAACGCTCCAGGCAAATCCACGCAGATAAGGAGCAGGGCTGAGGGGCTGTGCCCCCCCTAACCCAGGAGCACAGAGCCCGGGGATGGTCCTCACAACCTCGAGGAGGGGCGTCCACGAGGAAGGCAGCATGGCTCCCCTGGGACACCCCCCCATGACTTCCCTGCAGCCCAGGCCCCCCGAGGGTGTGGGAGCCCTGACGGTCCAGTGACCTTGGCTGAGCTGCCCTGTCCAGTCAAGCCCTGGTACTCAGGACCAGTTCAGGGCAAGCGGGAGGGGGCGAGTGTCAGATGGCAAGTTCTGTGGACAAGGCCGTGGAGACTGTTCTTGTCCAGGCTGGCTCCTGGGTTTGTGTCCCCTCCGAGGCTAGGTGGGAGGGAACCTTGCCTTCAGCAGGACAGTGAGTCTGGGTGGGCATAAGGAAGCACCTCACAGTTATTACAGAGAAAGGGCAAAGATCAGAGTTCACTTTTATTCCCCATAAACTGCTGGGTCAGATTGTGTTTGGAAAAAACATCTGCTACTTCAGGCAAAGCTGGAAAAGGACTGGTGCAGGGACACCAGGCTGAAAGGAGGCCCCAGCCCCAGCTGCAAAGTGGCAAGACCATGGCTGGACTCTGCTTTCTTGGGTTTGAGCATCATTTTGGTCCGGCCGTGACACGTGCAGACTAGGGGTGGGGTGCCCCCGTCCCTCATGCCACTACAGCCACCACAGGTGCCATGCTGCCCCTGTTCAGGATTTGGCTCCCTCTGGTTCTGGCAGTCGCTGTGGGCCTTGGTGGTCCCTCCCCTTCTTCCCTGGTGCCCGTGGGCTGCTCCCTTTTCCCCACCCCCCAGCCTTGGCAACCACAGGGCTTCACCTTCCCAAGACACTCCCAACCCTGGAGATGGTGACTGGACAGTAACATCCAGGCCCCCAGAACCGAGCACCCTGGGAGGCCTGTCAGCCGCCTGGCATTAAACCTTTCCCTTTGGTGTGTAGTGGCAAACCAGAGCTTGTGGTTCTAGCCTGGAGGACACAGCAGTGGGCCTAGAAGGCAGCGCCTGCTCCCAGTGCCCCAAGCGGGTTCAAGGCAGCTGGCAGTGGTCACCAGTGCGCGCTATGCCTCTAGCCTGACGCGGCTCAGTGCAGCCCTTAGGGCCACTAGCCGTGACTCTGGCAGGGCACCTGGTCACTCCGTACTGCAGGGTGTTCTCCAGTGGGGCGGGCGCTGTTCGGTGCACAGAGCACCCCGAGATGCTGGTCGTGCGTGTTCCCACCCGCAGCGCCCTCTGCTCAGAGAATAGGCCCTCCACCACTGTGCTCATCAACTCAACTTCTTTATTAAGTGCCAAGGGTCCGGGCGGGCGCGGTCCCCGCAGCCCCTCCGCGTGGCCGTGCTGGGTGCGTTTCCCGGGAACGAGAGTCCCCCGGCCCGGGGTCCCGCGGGCGGCCCCGCCGTATGGCGCCGGCTCACTTCACGTGCTCGGCTGCGTGCGAGGAGCAGTAATACTTCTTGTGCGCGATGAAGGTGGACAGGCTGCTGAACCTGATGTTGCACAGGCGGCAGTACCTGTGACTGCCGCCGGGCGCGGACCCCGGCGCCACCCTGCCGGGGGTCTGCGCGCCCTTGTCCGAGAGCGAGGACGGCGTGGGCGG